CAAACAAACAAATGCACCATTAGCATTGTGGACAACAGAATTTCCTCATTCGAGACAGGAAGCGAGACAGGAATCCTGAAAGCCAGGTGCTGCCAGGAGCATTAAGGAAAACACTCCTAACTCACTTCCAAACACCTAGTACTGTACCATCCCAAATGTAAAAGATGTTTATCAAAACACAGATTACAGATGGATGGTGATGACTGCACAGTATTGTGAATGGACTGGATACCACAGTCCTACACAAGGAAGAGTGACCAAGTGATAACCTTCTTGATTATTTTACCACAATTTAAATACCACCAAAAAAATGACAGATTTCTAAACAAGGATAAAGTTATTCCACCTAATGCCACATGGAAAGTAAAGGGGGAAATATCCTGTTTGGATCTATAAATGTTAAAGTCTCTAAGAGTCGAAATTAAACAAAAATTGAGTTTGGTCTCCTCTACCAGTGACAAATATCCATGGTAAAGAGATCTTCTAGGAAAGGCAAAAATACATAGGTATTACTGGCTTTGAATCTCCTATTCCTTTATTCAAAATAGCATGAGAGCATATGAAATGCTAATATTTTCATTGTAAAGTTTTAAACACTTTGTTGAATAAAGGAACACAGTGAAGCGGAATGCAGATTATGAAGAGCCCATTAACTAAGTCAGACCCAGATGTAAGTAATGCAGTTCAGCGTTTTATTTTCTTCTAGCAATTGACATACACCAGTCTATTATTCTACTTTGGAATTCCTCTGCTTCAGCTACTTCTATTAAAGACTATGTTAATAGCTATATTAGTATTATCTCAAAGTGAAAACTAAACTTGCCCCAATTTAGAAACTGGGTCTCCAGGGCCAGTAGGTGATGTGGTGGTTAAGGTTGTTAAAGACTCCCACATGGCCAACCATAGTTTAAGTCCCAGATCCAGTGGCTTGAAATTCACTCTGAGCGACTGTGCATACATGCCCAAAATCCCAAGAGGGAAATGGAGAAGGCATTGCGGTGTGGCAATCTTCTCTGAGGGGTGATTTCTCACTTTCCCTTTCATTGTCTCTCTGTCTCTCTGGTGCATGCATACACATTATGGCTAAAATTTGAAAGAGAGGAGAGAAAAATAGAGAGAGGAAGACAGACAGACAGACAGGAAAAAGGGAAAGGAGAAGAGAAAGGGGAAGGGAAGAAGGGAAGGAAAAGGAAAGGAAAGAAAAAAAGAAAAGCATTTGGGTCTTCAGGTCAGCCAGTGGCGTGGTGGCCAACTGCTCAGTCCAAGTTCAAGACTCTGCAGCTTGAAAACATACCAGGGCCAGAAGGTGGCACAGTGGCTGTGGCACTGGACTCCCACATAGCTAACAGTAATTTGAGTCCTGGATTCCACAGCTTGAACACCAAGCACATGTGCAAGCATGCCCAAAACCCCGAGAATGGAGGAATTACAGCATGGCCATCCCTTGGGGAGGGGGTGATTTCTCTCTCTCTCGCATGTCTCTAATGAGTGTATGTGCCCTATAGCAAAAAAATCTCTCTCTCTCTCTCAGAAGAAGAAAAAAAAAAAAAAAAAAAGAGAAGAGCATGCCAGTATGCACACATGCCCCGAAACTCAAGAGAATGGAAACGGGATTATGGCATGTCCATCGCCCCTCTGGGGGGGTTGCTTCCACATGTTCCTTCTCTCTCTCCAGCAAGTGCACGAACATTATAGCTAAAGCAGAAAAGCACGTATGAGCTGGACCAGCAGGTGGCATCGTGGTTTAGGCACTGGACTCCCACAAGGCCAACCACAGTTCAAGAACCCAGACCTGACAGTTACCTTTCTCACTTTCCTTCCTTCTCTTTCTGGGAAGTGTAGATGTCCTGTAGCAAATTTTTAAAATAAAAATAAAAAAAACACTACCAACCTTTTCAGACATTTGTTCATCTCTTTTCTACTTTGAATAGTAAGAAAAGTGAACTAATACAGCACAAACCATCAGAAATTCACAACTTGAAGGGCCAGCAGGTGGCGTGGTGGATAAGAGTGCTGGATTCCCACATGGCCAACCACGGTTGGGTCCCAAATCTGGCAGCTTGCTTTCTCACTTTCTCTCACTCTCTCTCCCTCTCCCTTTCTGCTCAGATTAAAATAAATAAATAAAGTTAAATAATTGAAAAAAAATTTCACAACTTGAAAGGGTAAATCTAGCTGTAGATCCAAATTACATTTATTTCAATTCCCAATCCAGTTTTTATAGAGAAAAACTGGTCATATTGCAACCTTAAGTGTGTTATCTTTCAACAGAACAAATTTTTAGAAAGGTACAACCTACTTAAATTGGGGTGTAACTGATTTTGTGATTGAAAAACGGAACTACTAATGATGACATTAGTTGGTTTTAGAATCATCTCCATGTTCCTTGCCTATTCTGTCTTCTTTATGTAAATGCCTACTTAGTTATACTCACTATTCTCCCATCAAGAACAAACATCACATCATGTAAATGCATGCAGTGCATCCTAGTTTCCCTATCTCACTGGTATCTTCAGGTCTTTGGTTCCACACCTGTAATGAAAAGTTCCAAACACCAGTGAGCTTCCAGGTCTACAAATCTTCAAAAATTAAAAGGGAAAAATGTTTTGATGCTTTAAATTTCTAAAAATAAAGACATTCTTAGCTTCCACACGTAAGTATTTCACTTGGCTTGTCCCTTGGTAAGTCCTTTGTCTAGCTACTTCTCTTAGATCCCTGAAGACTGGATCTAACCCAAGTTTTCTTTCTGTATGTGGAAAAAATACCCAATTGAGTTTCTCTCCACAAAAAGTTAAATCCTTCCTTTTCTAATTTCAAACAGAAGTATTTAAGTGGCTAGTTGCCCAATTCAACTCCATCTCCATCTGTAGTGATACTGGACAAATTTATGTAGTTGCCTATAAAATTCCCAATTAGATTAGTGTTTAGAATATAGTTTAAGAATAAATAGATCCTTTAAAACTCATTTCCCAATTGTAACTTCAGATAACATATGCCAGACTGCCAGTTTAAAATCAAATGTTCATTTGGCATAATTAGATGATACCAATTTGTCCTCCTACTTCAACCCATTCCTCAAAGGGATGGACTACAAAACGGAATGTTCTATTCATACTAAGCAATCAGGATTTTTGGTTTCTTTCTTCTTTCTCCCATGGTTTATGAAACAAAACAAACTTGGTTTATGCCTTAAGAGTACATTTGCTAAAGCACGTATTAGCAATAACCACTTCAAAATCACTGTGTCAACAGGGAATTGTGACAATGCCTTGGAATTACATATTTTAGGCGACTATCTCAAGCCTTTCAGAATTTTAGATCTGAAACTTTCAAAAATATCTGAACAAGTACATTAATCTGAAACAAATTCTCAGTAAATCTTTGGATTTATATCTTCTTATAACCCCTCAATCACACTATGAACTTCTTTCAACCTGTTGTAATCAAAGATTTTTAAGTCATTTCTGTTTGCAGGAAAGAATATGTTCTATTCAAGTGAAACTTGGTTTTAATTTTTATTGTGTGTTTATTATAATCAAAAAGCATTGACTGAATTCTCCAGGAAAATTGTATTTTGTTTATACATAAATTTGTTATTAATCAAAGAAGTCCATAATCTTGATAAAACTGAAAAGGACTACTGATTTTCAAACTCCATTAATCTTTCCATTAATTCCACAGTGACTAAGATATTTCAAATTGTTTTATTTAGAAACCCACAAAAAGCTGCTCTCTTAAAAGTTTCAAGCTTCCAAAAGTGCCAGTCTTAACATGGATCAGATTTAAAACTTGGGCACAAGAAATATGAAAGCAACTTTAAAAATCTTGGAATAAACTTGTATCCATGGGCAATCAAGTCTATTTTTCACTGACAATACAAAGCTAAAAGTAGAAAATAAGAAATCAAGTCTTAAGAGACAGATGGACCATGTAGAAAAATATTAAGCTCAGTTATTAGCCCCAAAAGCAGTGATACCTGAGGCAGAAGACCAAACAGAAGAGATCATTGTAATTACCCAAATGTAAAAATAAAAACAAAGCATGTGATAAAATATTAAGGCTAAAAATAAAAAAAAATTAAAACCCACATTTATGAGAAATTGGCAGGAGGGGGATATCAAATCTAGGAACATATCAGACCTCTATGCTACAAAACTTCATTTTGAGTATGTCAATTCATTTCTATGATTTGAATTTTAAGCCTATTCTCACATATTTCCTGATAGGACAAACGGCAGAATAAGTTTGATTTTTCACCTCCTCTAAACACTATTACAAAGAATAATTTTCTACCATCTTGAAATTTTTCAAAGCTTTTTGAGAAACACACACAAATAATTTGGATTTAGTTGATTTTATTTACAGCTTTTTTGTTTTTTTGTACATTTCAAAGCATCACACAATTACATTTTCTCATTTTCTGACCTGCAAACAGATACCTTAAATGGTAATTTTTTTTAATTATCAAATTAGATACATCCAAAATGCAACAATTACACATATAACAATTAAATCACAAAGTGTAATTTACTAGGACGTATCCTAAGAATTTAGGAACAGCCAGTCAGGAGAAATCTGACCAATTTTAGCAATCAACTATTATACATATCGAAACCAATCCTATCTAAACTCCCAAACCAGAAGCTTGAAAGTGTTTCTTAAATTGCATTGGATAAGAGAGTAATGACTCAAACCTATCCATCTTGACAGTTTTAATCCCAAATACTGAGTTATTTCCCCCGTTTGCAACTTAATAGCAAGTCTCTCAGTTTATCAAACAACTAAATATCAAACTTTTACACCATTAAGCCCAGAGAAAGCTAAGTGTTCATTAATTTAAAAACAAAGTCATTAAATATCCACAATATTCCCCCACATCAACAGCCCTTACTACAATCCCAAATATCCAACCTGTGTCACATAGTGACAGGTTATATGACAGGCTATGTTATACTTGTATTTTTGTGTGTATTTGTGTGTGTGCACACACGTGCGTGCATGCACACACCTGTGTATACACACGTACAGTATTAGGTACAAATGGCAATTAAGAGTCCCTGCCAAAAATTCAATTTCAGTTGAGGCTATGGCTCCTATGCCTTGGGATGGTCTTAGACTTTGAAACCAAAAAATAATGCTAAACTCTCTCACTTCCTTAAAACAAAGCTTGATTCCATGGTTCAGGTTAAGCTTCTCAATGTAAAAATGGCTATAAGGAATGTATAAAAAAGCCAGCCAACTGAGTTCAACTTCTCTCTCCAATGTGGCCAAGCTATTCTGTGGACGTTACGCCTAACTGGACTAGAAAACCTGTAGTACCTTCCCATGGTTCTCGCCTGCCTTACTGTCCATGTTCACGTTTCAAATTGTGTCAACAGAGCCCGCACTTCAGGGGTCAGCTGTCTGGCAGCCTTGGCTGCCTCTGTGATAGCTTTGCGATACAGGCCCTTTCTCTTCTTATTAAAGCGGGACTGGAAGTTTTCTAGAAAGGGGGAGAGTTGTGAAAGAGCAAGGAAAGATGTTGTTGGAGACCCGAACCATGAAATACGGGCTTCCTGTCGGACTAAAAGGCCATCATCTTTCCGGCTCACGGTTATAGTAAGAATACGGGCCGGCCACCAAGGGAAGCCATATATCTTGGCCCAAACAATGTCCCCTATACATATGGTCCTGCCATCTGGCGTGATACATTTAGACACATTTTTGGAAAAGACTTTCATTTTCAAGGAATTACTGAGCTTTTTCTCTTCCTTTGAAGAGGAGGAAGTAGAGGAGGTGGAAGGTGCATGCATACTGCCTGGAGGAAAATCAAAGCTTTCAGAAGAACTACACTCAGAGTTGGAAGATTTCAAATCATCTGTGCTATCAATGCTACACACTGAAGCACTGGAAGAGTCAGATTTCTTTTGATTTAGGGTCATGTAAACAGAGATACTGCTTTTGCTGCCCTTTTTGCCCAATGTCTGTGCTTCATCCTGCTCACCGGTCATACGCACTTCGTTTGTGTCGTGAACCTTACTGCTGGCCTCTTCAGGGCCTTTTGAGGGACTCTGATTTTCTGAAGGGGCCTCACCTGCTGAGCGGGTAGAGGTGCAGCGAGACTGGGGCTTGGGTGCCATCTTGCCACTCCGCATTTTCTCAAGTCCTGTCTTCAGAGAAGAGTCATTTTCTTCATTCCTGTACCTCTGGGGTTTTAAACGAACCCGGGGCGGAAGGGAACCTGAGCTAGGAGTCTGGTATCGACGTGTGAAATGGACTTTTGAATGTGCATTTTTGGAAGTAGAGGTTTCACTTTGCTTCTTTTGTGCCTTTTCTTTGGCGATTTTCAACACTTCCCGAGCTTTTGCGTGATCCATGTTCTTACTCTGGAGTACTTTTTTAGTACTCAGCTGAGCTTTTGACGTATTTGCCTGAGCAGAAACTTTTACTACTCGGCCCCTGCTGTGAGCAATACTGGCAACCTTCACCACAGCGTTTCTTTTCTGGCTCTCATTTTGGTTTTTCCCATCTACTTTATGGTCAGTTTTCAGTTTTTTGTTCACAGTAGTTACACTTTCATTTCTCCGTTTCTTATCTTCATATTTAGCAGAGTCACTTGCACTAGTACTACCTTTTCTAATTTCCTTTTTTTCAGCAACAACACTGTTTTTACATTTATCACACAGGACTTGCCTGGGGCGTAGCTTGATAGCATTCATTATTGAAGTGGGTTCTTCCCTGTACATTTTTCTTTTGGGTCGCTTAATTTTCCGAGGAGGTGGCTGAGGTATTGATTGGTTATAGGTGTCCCTGATAAACAAAGGGGGAGGGTAAGGTGCTCCTTCATGGAAGAGAGGTGGAGGTTTGGAAATCCACAGGCTTTCAGCCAAGCTCAGCTCGGGAGGCGGGATAGAAGGGTCATCGGAAACAGCACCATTCACGTCACGCTTTACTTCTGTCCCCTCGTGGAATGTATTACTCTGGAGCTGCATGGCTTCCGGTTTATCCTTATATTCCCTTTTGGGAAATACTGTCACAGGGATCCCATGGGGCCCAAACCTTTGAAAGAAAGAAAAGAGAAAAAAGTGTCATTGAGTTAACATCTATAATTCAATTTCTTAAATGTAAAAACACCTATTTATGTATATCCCCTTTCCTGAAAGCCACTTAATATTAAAAAAAAAAAAATCTGACCACTTCCCTCCCCAAAATCCCAAAGACTTCCTTTCTTTAAGTTCTGTATTTCTGGTGAAAACAAATACTCATTCCAACTGGCTGCCCTAAGCAATACCAGAATAGCTGATTTTATTTAAAATAGATTTTTCCTGCTTTGAATCAGAAAGGATGTTCCATCAGATAGCTTTAATATTAAATGTCATGTAATATTTCATTCAATGAATTATATGCAACATTTTTAATAAATATAATAAATTCCTAACACATGTTTTCCTGTAATAGCTATAAAAACCTTTATAAAGCAAATCAGTCTAAACTTCCCAAAAATATCAAATCAGTAAAATTCCATCTCAATTGTCTTAATCTCTAATGATTCAAGGAAAGTTGCTCCTTTTCGCTTGCATCCTCTTTTTCTTTGATTTTTCTTTTCTAATTAATGATAATGCAAGCCTATGGGTGTGCAGGGAGGAAGGAGGAGCAAAGGAAAGAAGGGAGAGAGGTATGCCCTAACAGGGTCTTGGTCATGCTGTGGGTACACTTTTCAAGGTCCTCAGGGCATCTGTGCAAACAAGCAGTGTGTTTCAGGTCAACCAGGCCCAACCTGAATCACATCTCGCCATGTGGCATCCAGTACCACAGTCCATCACACTACTGACTATGGCAGAGGCTAGGCCTATATCCCAACACTTAAATCTCCACCTTTATCCCCCAAACACACACACATACATACAGAACCAAGAACTCAAGACATTCAAATTACCTCCAAAGCAGATAAGTAAAGAGCTGTGGCTTTCAAACTTTTTAGTAACATCCCATGTTGGGACCAGCAGATGGCATGGTAGTTAAGGCACTGGACACTCCCACATGGGTGATCACGGTTCGAGTTCCGGACCTGGCGGCTTGCTGTCCCATTTCTCTCTCTCTCTCTCTCTCTCTCTCTCTCTCTCTGTGTCCCTCTCTGGTCAAATTAAAATAAATGAATGAATCAATAAAATTAAATTAATAATTATTTTTTTAAATAAATAAATATATAACACCCATGTTAAGAACTATTTTCACATTACAACCCAGTGAGAACCTTTATGTATCCATGCACACATATAAACCTAAATATACACACTTAAACAAAATGTCACCATACTTTACATTGTGTGATACACACTGCTGTTATTTTCCCCTTTGTTTCCTTCTGTAATTTGTCCTAGGGTTCTTGCACTCCCAGAGAGACAGAGAGGGAATGTTAGAAAGCTCCCCAGGAGGGAATAGCCATGCAAAAATCTCTTCTCCACTCTCTTGTCAGGATTTTGGGCACACATACACCTGCATTCGGTGTGTTTTTCAAAGCGGGTCCAGAACTCAAATTATACAAGCTGCAATATGTGATCTAGCCACTTTAACAACCACACCACCAGCTAACCCAATTTTATTTTTTTCTACTCTATAGTCTACTTCATCTGTTTTAATGCTAGTCAGACCCATTAATTTCTAACTCCCTTAAGGATTCAGACCCACAGTTTGCAAAGCAGTACTACAGAATACAAATCCTACAGTTCTGAGTTCCTAATACAATAAGACTCATTTTGCACATAGACTTAAAAATAATTGGTTTAATTTGCAAAGGCTGCATATCAAGAACTTGACCATTAAACCAAACTTGTTATGCTCAATTTCCATCACATAAAAATGTAATCACAGAGCCAGTAGATGGGGGAGCAGTTACATTGCTGGGCTTCCACAAGGCTGACCACGGTTCGAGTCTAGGACTGAGTGGCTTGAAATTTATGCCAGGCATGTGTGCGTGCATGCCAAAAATCCTGGGAGAATGGAGGAGGAATTGTGGTATGGCCATCTTCCTTGAGTGGTGGTTCTCACTTTCTCTGGTAGCACACATTCCCTAAGGCAAAAATCCCTAGGAAAAAGAAAATTAAAAGACTAAATCATGCTAACAAGTAATTTTGGCATATACATTAACTTGTTGATTTTAAACACTATTTGAACTGCAGGTACTATTTGATTCCAACAGTATCTAACACAATATAATTTTAATGCCAGTTCTATAAGGCAAAACTCCTTAGAATTCCACAAACTACTGAGTTGTTGGAAAAGTCATGATGCATTTTTCTGAAATTGTATGCAAAAAAGTATCATGACTTTTCTGATGATCCAACAGATGCAAATGTCTTATAAGTACCTCTTTAAATGGAGAACAAATCTTTTTTTTTCTGGAGAGGTTTTTGCTCTAGGGCATGTGTGATCACCAGAAAGACAGAGAGAGACAGAGAGAAATCACCACCTGGGGGGATGGCCACACCACAATCCTTTCTCCTCCCTTCTGCTCTCGGGATCTTGGGCATGCACACACACATGCCCAGCATGAGTTTAAGCCACCAGGTCCGGGACTCAAACCGCAGTAAGCTACATGGGAGTCCAGAGACATAGCCATTATGCTAACCACTGGTCCCAAGAACAAATCTTTAGTACTCCTTAAATTCTCTAAAGCGTTATTATCGTCTCCAAGAAGGTTCATAACAACATCTTTGTTAGGGAAAAATTTAGAAATTAAGTACCACTGGCTATAGATATGCCTAAACTGGGGAGCGATTTAGAAAGAGCCAACACATGGGACCAGCAGATGGCATAACTGGTTATGACGCTGGACCCCCATGTAGTTGAGCTCTGTTCAAGTCCCAGAACAGCTTAAAAATCACACTAAGCTTGTGTGTGTGCACACGCACGTACATGCCCAAGATCCCAAGAGAATGGAAACGAGACTGCAAGTATGGCCATCCCCCCTCTAGGGGGTGATTTCTTGCTTTCTCTCTCTATCTCCCCGGCAGGTACACCTACTCTATAGCAAAAAAACTCTCAAAAACCAACACCAATCAGGCATCGGGCTCTAAAACCTAGTCAATTTTCCATCAAGTCTGTTCACTTGACTACCAACAAATAAGTGATAGCAGGTACTTTATTACATAGGGTAGGACAACGCAGGGTCTAAGTTATTATCCAACCACTTTGCCACCTGTCCCTAAGTGTTTACTTTCTAAGTATTTAATTGCAAAGTATTTTAAGCATGTAACCTTTTCTCATATGAGTGTTCAAAAGTTCATAGAAAATGTGTATTTAAAAATTACATGGACTTCTGGGCCAGCAGGTGGTGTGGAGGTTGGGGTAGCTGGATCCCACACAACCACGACTACAGTTTGCGTCCCAGACCTGACAGCTTGAAAAGCATGCCAGGTACAAGAGTGTGTGTACCCAAAATCACGAGAGGAGAATGGAGGAGAAGGAAGAAGGTGTGCAATTTAGCCATCTCTGGGGGGGGGGGGGGGTTCTCACTTCCCCTTCCCAGCCCCACTTGGCAAGCACACACACTCTGCAACAAACTAAATAAATTAACAGATAGATTTCAACATTTTTGCATCAAAATAAACATGTACATTAATTTTTCCAGACTTTTTCAAGTCCCCTTATACACGGTGTACAATTAATCACTTTTTCAAAATAGGACAAAAGAGATATTTGTTCCAATGTAGAGCTATGTAACACAAGATGTCTTAGATCTGAGTTCCCTATATGTTATCAGTAAAATTTTCTAACTTATAGGAAGCTATCATTGTGCCTCTATTATACTTTCACATTTCCACAGCTGAATAAAGAAAAATTCCCTTCCTTTTGTTAAAAAAGACTAAATTATAATTATCTGTGTTTCAGGTGAAGTTTTGCAGCCATCTTGCCAACTGTTTGTATTCTCTGAACGTTAGGGGTTTTTTTTTAGGGCATGTGTAAAATGAGCAGGAAAATAGTAACTCCCACTTAAAGGGAGTCAGCGGATGAGTTTATTTTTGCCATAGGGTATGTGTGCTTGTCAGAGACAGAAAGCAAGAAATCAACCCCCGGGGGGATGGCCACACTACAATCCTTTCTCCTCCACTCTCCTCTCAGGGTTTGGGGCATGTGTGCATGCACAAGAACCTGGCATGAGTTTAAAGCCACCAGGTCTGGGACTTGATCCATGGTCGACTACATGGGAGTCCAGTGCCGTAACTATTATGCCATCTGCTGGTCCCGTGAACAAATTTAGTAAGTAGACTAATGTTGGCCATTTTTCTTGGCTAGTACTTATTTCACAGGCCATCCAATGGCACAGTCGTACACAACTGGAGCCACATTACAGGCCCCAAGCTCATGGTAAACATGTGCCCACAATGGAGCCTTGCTGAGAGTGGGCGTGGATCACTGTGTGTGGACGTTGTCAGGACTGCCTGTTAGAGTCTCTGTCTCTCATGGGAAAAATAAAACTTTTAAAACAGATACATATGGGGCTGGCAGGTGGTGTGGTGGGTAAGGGTGCTGGACTCCCAAATGGCTGACCGCAGTTTGAGTCCTCGACCTGGCACTATGCTTTCTCATTTTCTTTCCCCTCTCATTCTGTCCCTCTCTAGTCAAATTAAAAAATAAAGTTAAATAAAATAATTCTTTAAAATAAAATAAATAAAATATACACACAGATTTCACATATTTTACTTCATTTAAGTAATTTGACTGTCTTTGCAAACTAATATTCTTCTGCATAGGGTACTTGCCATGTCTAATTTATACCCTCTCTATGAGGATGACCTAGCTAATTATTGGGTTGTCAGGAGTCATGATGTCATTTTCCTGTCATTTTCTGTCAAAAATTACATTTTTAAACATTATTTATTTAGGAGCTGGCAGGTGATGTGGTGGCTAAAAACAGTAGACTCCCACATGGCTGACTGTGGTTAGGGTCCTGGACCTAGTGGCTTGCTTTCTTACTTTTTCTTTCTCTCTGGTCAAATAAATAAATAAATAAATGAAATTCAATTAAATTATTTAATTACATTGGTGGTTGTTGTTAT